ATATTCGCGGTCCATAACAGACACAACCCAATGATGGCCCCTGCTATCCAATGTGTTGATTGTTGAGAAGTGTAGACTGGACAATGACCCAACTTTGGTTTTTTTTGCACGTAGGTGGGTGCTCCCAAGCTCAAATCCCTGGTCAGCCCATGATTTTTCCATCATACAAAGCCAAGCCTCCTCAACATGTCAAYTTATATGTGCAATGCCTTCTATTTTCTTTTTGATTGGTCTGTATACGTGCAGTGAATTAAAGCACCAACCTAGTATTCAGACACTAGGTTCTCAGCCAGATACTACATCCCATGATGGACCAAATATTAAGAACGTATCTCTGATATTCAAGATATAGTTAATCAGCATAGCATTATTGTTTCCCCAAACTGCAGCTATCCTTTTATGTCCATTGGCCAGCAATCGTAATCTGTGTAACCSTAGAAAAAACTAGTCCAAGGTTGCTCTGATATATAGAGGCCGGAGGTTGGTCAATGGCCAAACGACAGTCGGCATGGCAATGGTATTGTGCCATATCTATGGAACCAATTAAGAGAAGCTAGGACATTGAAAGCCAATCTGAGTTGCACATTCAAGTGGATACCAAGGTCTGTAAAAGCTTGCTGTAGTGAGGATGAGAGTGAATAGGATAGCTTATGCAGCCCATCATTGTATAAAATGCAACCTAAAATACCGTACACAGCGAGAGAAAAGCTACAGAAAACCTTCTTTACCTTCGCCTGGATTCACAAKYACAACCTGCTAACGAAGTTACATCTTATCTGCTAAACCAACATGAACAAGAAAATGTTTTAAAGATGATTGAGAACCAACTCTACTAATAATACAAGAATTACAGGGCTTGATCTTCAAATTGTAATTCTCTAAACGTTCCATAATCAGATGCCATTTTCTCCACCTTTTATATCACCTTCAACTTCTTACCATCTGAAGGGTGTCCACCATCTACTCACATCTCAATGTGATCATCATCATCAATGATTCCTTACCTTTTCCTTTTCTTTTTTTTTTTTTTTTTTTTTGGGGGGGGGGGGGTTTCATGAAGCTACACAATGGGGTTAGACCAGCTAGATGCCTTACTGAAATAGGTAATTAGCCTGTTGTGTTGATATTGCCTTACTGAAACCAGCTAGCCAAGTGGAAAGATGGAATTAATACCAATACAAGTGAAACTATGGGTTGCCACCAAAGCTCTCATCATGAATAAAAAAAGTGTTTATATATGTATGTATAAATATATTTGTTTCACTAACAAAGTAAAAAATTTGTTTATATTGACAAAATAAAACAGCAAAACTGACTCCAAAAAGCAATAAATAAAGAGATACCCTTGATAGATGGAGGATCAATTGATTTGAAAATAGAACCTTAACCAAACGGGCTATTGGTTAAGACAGCATTTAATTTGTTTACATATATATTTTTAACAGGAGAATAATCAAGAGAAATAAATTATATAGCATTACAATGGGGGTAGTAGACYGTCTCCCAAACCCATAACCCTGAACCTTGGTGAAGGTGGGATTTGATCTCTAGCCTCCACTACAACCCGATAGATGCCTTACTGAAATAAGTAATTGGCCTGTTGTGTTGAGTAGGAACAGCCCCTATGCAAATATCACAAGCATCTGTTTCTACAGTAAATTCTTAAGAAAAATTTGGAAGAGGGTGAGTAAGATTGGAAACCCTTAATGATGGCATTTCATGAAAAATGCTATCGCAGTGCTTTTCTGACATTATTTGCATTCAGCGTTCTCATCGAGTCAGGAAGAAAGTTTTTGATAGGACAATTACGAAGCTTGAGTAAAAGGCAGCAGAGGAAGCATTGGCCAATGAAGTACTAGAAAAGTTAGGAGGTTTGGTAAGAGAGTGCAAGGGCATAGAAAGGAAGTTTTCAACAACCTATYGTTTGGGTTGGGATGGAGTTGGATTACAACCACAGAATGCCCTTCCCTGTATGATGAGAGCACAAAGAGCTACTCTTTTCAAGGTACTAAAAGAGAGAGCTTTACCATTTTTCACAAAGAGCTACTGTTGAAAAGCTATGGGCCTCTTAGTTTCCTCAAGGTCCAGCCACAACTCTTCATCACAAAGAGCTTTACCATTTGCATCTAGTGGTTCTTTTGAGGTCAGAAGGTCTAAATAGTACTTGTATCTGTGAATTTGTAATATAGTTGAGAAACCTAAACCTTTTCCATAATTTCGATTCTAGCTAATGAAGTGTGGTTATGTTATTATACAGGTTAGAGGACTATATCAAGATGCAACTTCTTCTTTTATTGGAGTGACAGTTGAAAGCTCAATTCTTTTTGGCATTTATTCCCAAACCAAAAAATCACTTGAGGTTTTTCTGTCATAGTGATTGAATATGCTGTTCAATGATTTTTTTCAACACCGAAACAAGTTGTTGCAGGCTATAACCACATTAGTTGATGTTGCACATATTTTTACTTACAAAAGTTAATTTTAATCCCTGGTTAATTAAACACTTGTACTATGTCTTTTTTGTGAAGGGAGAACTGAATAGCTGTAAGCCACAACTTCAGTTTATCATTCCTTCAGCAGCTTATGGTGGAGCTATAATCAGCTTAGTACTATTGCTCATCAGAGCTGATAAAAGTAGGTGAATTTTTGCCCTCCTGTATTTCAATTGTCTGTTGGCCATATCTCTGCATGTGACACTGAGATCGTCCAGTGTAGGGTGCAAGTTCAAGGGACTGATTCGCTGGTTGGTAAATGTGACAAATACAGTAGTCCTCTTGATTGTGCTGTTAAAACAATAAAGAGTGAGGGGATAAGAAAATATCTCTGTATACTTTGAAACGTGGAGAATGATGTGATTGGTACTTATTGTCATTTATATTCTCAGCTTAAGGGTATAGTTCATGGAGGTACTGCAACTTTATTGAAATGTGATCTTCTTCAGCACTTATGAGTATACACGTTACTACATGTACATATATGCAAGTGAATTCTGCTTCATCTGTCTATAGCCATCTGCCAAATATATTGATTGATGCAGGGATTGGTACAACCACTGGTGGACTTGGCGGTGTTGCAGTAAGTACTTGACAACTTAATGCATATAAGAATCATATGAGACTGGATTTCAYAATATTTGGTCTTCTTGACAGTACTGGTCCGTGGTTCTACCCTTTGATGTGGCAAATACTKTTATTCAGACTGCACCCGATTCAACTTCTAGTAGAAATCCATTTGGCATATTGAGCTCGGTAATATGTAGTTCTTTTCCTCCCCCTGGAACCCTGGATGTTCAAACCACCTTATGGTACATTCTTATCAGGACTGTTTCTGTAGATATAGAGGATGAAGGGAATTAAAGGATGCTACAATGGCATTGGTCCCACATTAGCAAGAGCATTTCCTGCAAATGCTGCTGCAATTGTTGCATGGGAGCTCACTGCCAAACTTTTAGAGATTAAGCTCGATTGAAGGCTTATTTGATGATAGTGACTTCCATTATGCTCCTGTCCTCATCCTAATAGTAAACATGCACTTCTCCAATGGCAAATCATTCGAGTGGCATGGCAATTTTGTTTTTGTGAGTTTTGTTCTTGTTTGATGCAATATTTAGGTACTGTGTTGAACTACCATGAATTTGTTCATGTTTTATTAGATATAATTCATAAGTCATAATTGCTAGTGAGGATGATTTGATTTTTAAGATGTCATCAGATGGAAGTTCTTATGACAAAACCGGTTTAATTACATGAATTCCCAATGTGTGTATATGTTGAAAATATATAATTAGTGGATGTTTTTGAGGTTCTCTTAACAGGGGTAAAATTGAAAACTTTAGCTGATTCCGATCCCAGCTTCTAGTTGAACCAAACAGATGCCAGGAATGGACCATTTCGATTCCAATTCCGGAAGGTTCCGATTCCGATTTCATACATGGGCTTTTTATTTTGAGATCAGCCCCACCAAAAGTCTTTATATACAGATAGATAATCATTATTATTTCATTGAACATTGCTTGGGGTAAGCTATATGTCGCCATTTGATTATCATTCTGAACCACTATTTCCAAAGTGTTGTGAGATAAGCAAATCTGAAGGCCATGAAAAAATTAAATTCAGCACAAATAGAGCTGCGTCACTATAAAAATTGTTGAAAGTAAGCCTCCGATATAGTAAAATAGTCGCCTGACTTTTGGTAATTAATGCTTTGGTTCCACCCTAATTACAATCCTCTTACAAAAGCTAATATCTTTAACCACATAAAACTGGGACTATTAAGAGAACACAAAACATAAGATGATTTTGTCAAATAACACTTCATTTCTGAAATGAAGAAAATACCTTGTCCAATACTAGGAGGAGTGATCTTAAATATCGAACTACAAGGGTGCTCCCTTCCCTTGGTACCTAGTTTCAAGATATAATTTTCATGCCTGACTTTGGACAATCCAGATCTCCTACCCACACCTACCCACAAGGCATTACAACTGTACATTAGAAACATCTCCCCATGAATTGTAACATGTAAATATGGAAGATGTTCCCAATGTACAGCTGTAGGTGTGGGTAGGAGATCCCAGCTCGACTTTAGAGCTGATTTTGGCCAACCACCTCAGCCCTTATTGAAGAAGTAAAGATTCTGGGTGCCATAGTCTATTTGAACGGACTCTCTTTTAATATTGTCTTTGGGCTTCAATCCATTTCTGCTCACAAGGCTACATTTGGTAATATGTTCTTCACCTCAGGCCCATGGTCTCTCTTTAAGAGATTAAGGTTACATTTGGCCTTCCTTATTTTAAGGACTTTTCTCCTTTTTGCAGTTAAAATACCCCTATGAACATTGAGTTTTTAACACAAAAAGGAGATAAGTCTTCAAAGTAAGAAATGCCAAATGCAGCCTAACAAAATAAGAGCCAAGACATCTGAGTTGGAAATGGTTCCTTCCTTTGGAGCACCATTTGCATGGAGATTGGTTCCACAATCTCCATGCAATCCACATTATTAGTGGACATGTTCAATAAGTTGGTGGAATGCCGAGTGATCATGCTCAATAAGTTGGCGCAACTTTATCTATTAGGCCCAGTTGACATGATTAAGTCTGACCAACCAATCACAAGTCTGGCCCAATCCTAAGCCCAACTCAAATATGTCTAATTTCAGTACAGGTGGTCCTGGATTAGACAGATCAAGCCTGACTCGAGACGGGCCTGCTTGATAATTTAATTATTGCTATGGTGCATAGCTATAGAGAAGCCAATAGGCTAGTTGATGCTTTATCTAATATTGGCATGGCTAGAGGTAATATGACTCATTTTACATCTTTCTCTGAGTTGAGTATAAATGTTAAAACTCTCATTCTTGTCGATAATTCAGCCTGTGCCTAGGACTATACTTTCTTTCTTTGGTGGGGGTTCTGTGAGAAGGAAAGGCTGAGAGATTGGTATTATGGTTCCCTTTGATAATGGTTAGCAAGATTTTAGTGTAGCCTCCCCTCACCAGAAATTTATTTGATATGTTTACTTTTAATGTTTTTGAAATTTATCTTGACTACTTAAAGGAAAAGGTAGGGAAAGGTAAGCAAAA